GGCCTGTAGTTGAAACGATGCCCCCCAGGTAGGTAGGTAGGTAGGTAGGTGAAGGAGGTTGATTCTTTCAGATTTGTCCCATTTATGCTGGCTCATTGTTGTCTGTTGTCGTTGCTGTCGGCTGTTAGTATCAAGAATTTAATTTGTTTGAAGTTCGATCATGGATCGATAAATCAGTTAGAAAACTATTGAAAACCAACAAGTAGTAATTACTGAACAGCCAGCTGTTTCATCGCAATTCGAGGTTCGTCATCAGCATGAACCCACCTGAAGTTCCGAGATTCAAACGCCTAGTTTTCAATCGTCATCTAACTGATTTTGAAGCTTGAAATCAATCGAATACTTAAAAACTAGATCTTAAGACTGATATCATTTCATACGGCAAATTCAGTCTTGCTTGGCCTCCGAAACGTTTTCATGGGAATTAAGTGCATGAAAGCACAGTTGCACATTAAGTAGGTTTCAACTTTTTACACACATGAACTTTATATCTGTTTCCTATCAATGTTTGGCATGATAAATGTAGACTTTATCATATCAGAAATGTGAAACATTTGGCATTTATAAGGTCTACCTATTTCTGATCCCTATGACCAGGATGATTAACGACTTACATACTTTGATAGAAGAGAATATTCATTGTGAATAGTTTTGATGTTTTAATTGTCATGAAAAGAGAATGTCCAGTAAACAGGTAATTCTTTGGAAGAACTTATCAGGTTGGGAACAATGAGGGAAACAGAGGGAGATAGAGGGTCAGAGAGAGAGAGGGTTAACTGGTGTAATTCTTCATTGATTCGGTACATAGTAGAACACAACACAACACAACAGAACAGGAAAAGTTTCACACTGATTACCAGAATACTATTGAAATACTCGCCGAAGACATTGGCTAGCGGTCGCGCTATGTCGTGAATTGGCAGAAGTTAGAACTCATGGGCCATTGGATCGGGTCCCAGTGGCTCATTGGTCTACGAGTTAGGTCGCCTTGTAACCGGAAGGTCCTGGGTCTGAACCCCGGTGGGTGTGTACTGATGAAGATTCCCAAACTAGGACGAAACCGCTGTCCAGTACTCCCAGGTTTTCCAATGGTTCTCTAACTAATGCCAGCTCATGATGAAATCCTGTAACCAGTCAATCAAATCCCTACAAACCAATACTTAAACACAGACTGAATACGTCACTAGCCAGGGTCTATCCTGCAGATAAGTTGGTTCCCGTCTATCAAACAACATGCTCTTCTGTGGTGCAGTCAGAAGTCAATAGATACCCTTATCATGTTTACTCCAACTATGTATACAAATTTACAAGTATCTGAGGGAGCAGTTACATCAGGAGAACACAAAGTAGGGCTCACCTCCAATTTTTCTGAACATGTATCAAAGAGTTTACGTCTCAACGGAACAAACGCTTTCAATAGTGCCATTGTTAAGTATCTTCTTGATACTGGTGAAGCATAAAGGGGACATCGCAAGTCCCTTTAAAATTTTCAATGGGCGAAAAGCTCAATTCTTCTCAAGTTTGTTGAAGCAACCTCTACCAAAGGAAGAAGAAGCAGTTACCAGTCTTTTCTTACTCTGGCAACTGGATGTCTTTATTCTATCTCTTTCATTTGATTACGTAATATTTCGCTTTAACCTCAACCCCACAACCCTTATGACATAATGTAATTTTGCATGCCTCTTGTTTCTGTGATTTGGTTTGAACTCAGTATACTGTTACCCAATTTATTAGTTACTCATCATCTTACTAACCTTTTGTCTTTATTACATGACTCCTTTACCATTGCATGCATACATTTACATTGTTTAAACTTGAATTCCCTGTGTAGAAACTATATATATATGCGTTATTTTCTGAGTACTGTTCACTGAATTCGGAACCTTCCGTCACTAACTGACATCATATAAAATTTGCAAGTATGTTAAGATTTTTCTGTACATAAACATCATATATTATTTAGGCTGTAAACGGTAGCTGACGAGAAGCTAACGCAATAAAAAATGATGGTACCATCTTCTTATTCCATACAAACCATTGTTGTTCTTGCTTTATTCAAAAAGGCGAGAGCTAATTTAAGTTATAAAGTTATCTACAAAGTGATTTGTTGAGTCTTGTTGAGTATTTTATCTTGAATATAGAGTGCTGATACTGACGCCAAACTTTCCCCTAGAGAGAATAAAAGATGCACTGGATGCAAAATGTCACCCAACAGTTCCAGAACAAGCTGGATTCAGAAAAGGCAAATCATTGGCTCACTAAACTGTAACTCTGCTCATCACCACCACAGAACAAAGCATAGAATAGCAGTCAACTCTGACTCTACCTCTATTTCATTGCCTTCGAAAAGGCCTTCGACAGACAGCGTTGATCGAGAAGTGATTTGGAAACTCCTTCAACACTATGGAGTTCAGTTCACCAAATCTTTATAAACCTCATTCCACGACTGACCATATGATAGTGCCACGTGTCAGTCAAGTGGTGCACAACGGGAAACTCAGTGATGCCCGGCCCTGAGGGGAATATGGGAGTAAGACAAGGATACCTGCCTATTATCACTAAAGATGATATTCCTTATTGTGGTGGACTGGATTATGCGTGGGACTGTGCTTTGGGAGTGAGAAGACAGGAATAAGTAGGACTGACCAATAAGAAGACTCTAGAAGATCTGCATTTCGCGCATGAATGACTTATGTGTAATGTCGCTCACACAAACTCGAAGAGTTGCAGGCAGGCAGAAACCAGCAAACTGGCAGAAGAGGTGAAGCAGGCAGTGAAGACCAGACTGCAGGTGAATGTAGAGAAGATGGAGGTGACGAAGATTACCAACCAACCAACGAAAAGCAACAACGACCAGCATCAATCACTATCAACGGAAGGAATTTAACAGAGGTCACCTCCTTCACTTATCTGGCCAGGAAGCACGATTTGAACCACAGACAGTTGGCTTGGACGGAGGTTTCAAAGCCAGTGGGGATCAGAAGGGCAAGGGAGACTCCCATTTCTCTAAAATCAGTTTGGAAGTCTTCTGCACTTATAAACATAAAACGAATTTTAAATCAGTCAGTCACTTCTCTCATATGAGTCAGAAACTTGCACTATGTGTCACGAAAAGCACTTTTATCAACAGCTGCCACTTTCGATGGCTGGTTTCATACTGAAGATCAAATGGTCGGCTGGTCAGTGGAAAGAATTAGCGACAAGAATCTCTGAGAATAAACCCAATAAAAATCTGTTGCTGAGCAAATATGGTGAAGAAAATGCAGAAAGATTGGAAATATGGCGAGGAATAACATCGCGCGCCGGGCCACCACTCTCGTGCAGCCCAAATAGAAAACGACGAGTTTGACATTTGTCCAAGGGTGACACGGAGGAGATTGTGTGAGGAAGAGATGAGAGACTTTGAGCAACCGTGGGACCAAATAAAAACGACTGCATAGAATAGGAAAAAGTGGAGACGTGCTGTTGAAGACCTCCCTATGTTTCACTCACAACTCAAGAGAACAGTAATAAATAATAATAGTTACAGCCGGTATGTTCCTTATCAGCCATCAATCGTTCAGGATAAAATAGTTGTCGATAAGTGCCAGTTCACAATTCATCTGCAAGAATTGGCTCCATATATACGAACACTACACGTGGAACTTGCTTCCCAATCACTGTTTCACTAAAGAAAGTACTGAACGATTATTCTTCACCTACAATAGCCTTATCATTTGGCAATAGGTCTATCCGTTTGGATGCCATGTTCTAGGCAGTAAAACTCACAGTATAGCACTTCTCATTTGAACCCCGATGTGATTGATGCACTCAGAAATGTCTTAACATATAGCAAAGAATGAATCTAATCAAACATTGAATCTAATCAAACTCCTTTAAAAACACAGAATGAATAATTTCCCTTTTCAATAATTAGTTTGTAGATATTTAATTTACTTCATGTTTGTTCACGGATTGATAACTCATTTAAAAGGACCACTGAAAACCAGCAGGGAGTCCTTCATCCTATTTTCAGACTCATCTGCAGTAGGTACCCACTGGCTAGGGAACGAAGTTGCATGAAGCTCTTTCTAGTGAGAAGTCATAACCAGCGAAGTCCACTATAGGTTGGAAGTGAGGACACTGGCTGGTGCGTCGGTGGCACAGCGGTAGAAGGTTCACCGACCACGAATGAGGTCCGAGGTTCGAGCCTCGGCCATCGACGCATTCCTTTGCCTCAGTAAGCAAGTAATAAAATGGTGGTAAAGAGGAAAGGTTGGACATGAGGCTAGCAACCCCATCCTGTAAAAACAAACACCACTGCTAGAGAAACTTCAAGCCTCTAGCTTGAAGCCACTCTAAGTTCCACTGGGAACATGAAGGAATGAGTAAAACATTGGCTAGTGCCAGTAGCACTAGAATCATGAATTTGTAGAAGTTGAATTGCTTGGATTGGCCATTGAGTCGAATCATAGTGGCTGAATAATGGTCTACGAGCTTGCCTTGTAACCAAAAGGCCTTGAGTTCGAACCCTGGCTGTGGGTACATGCTATCAATGCACCTCAAACTAGGGTGAAACAGTCAGCTATCCAGTGCACCCTGTTTGGAAGGGGTGTTCAATGGTTCTCTAACTGATATTAATCTGTTGTTAGACCTCAAATAATTTCCCTCATTTAAAGATTTGATTTTGGTTCTATTCCTTGGACATTGAAATAAAAATTAAAGTCGAAAAAGGATAATTATTCATATAATATTTATTCATAATTGTAATCATAATAATCAGTGTATATAATTTGTACAAAAACAATTTTGTTGGTTTTTCTTTTTCACTCTATGTTATTTGTTTATTTAATTATATTTGATTTAGTTTAGTTTATTTATTCATATTTACTCTGTTTGTTTTACTTCTCCTCTTTCTCCACATTATTTTTATTTAAAATGAAGCGGGAATATCAAAATAAGAGAAGGGATAAACAAGGGATTAACAGATAGACGACTAAAAGATGGATGGGTAGAGTAGAGAGTAAGAGTATGAAGAAGAGGGAAGCAACAAGAGTAGTGAGTAGTAGGATGAAGAGAATATGGATCAACAGGAGTATGAGGAAGAGAACGAGTAATAGTGTGGGGGGAAGTCAAAGTAAGAGGAAAATGGTGGGTTGGGAAGCTAAGGAAGAAAGCGACTAAGAAGGTGAAGATGAAGACCAATGAAGAGGAGGCAGAGAAGAAGAAAAAGGATGCAAAAGAAGACAATGTATTGAAAATTATGTTCAACAGAGAGATCACTAAAGAAGTGACAACATTTCAGAACAAACATGTTCTTGTAGTCAAAAATAGATGAAATCAAACTGAATGAAGAGGCCCAGATACAAATCCCAGATGAAGACGGATAGGGGAAGAAAGAATCAGGGGAGGGTTGAAGGTGGGAGTGGATGAAAAGAAGAGAAAATACTATTGATAAAATCACATGTTAGCTATCTCTGTATGAATTTGAACTCATAAATGCATTTTCTGCTTTCCATTTTAGTTTCAATTTGTGTGGACGAACCGAGAATTTTGGCTTTCTGTTTTGACATATAAACACAAGAACTAGTAGAAATGAGGCACCAGTGTGAATCGTTGGAGGGAGGGATAGGATGGGAGGCAGAGACGAGTACTGGGATGAAGGGATTCAATGAAACGCCAAGAATTCTTCATTTCCTATTGACAGAACAAGACAAAGCGACGAAATGAAGTGGAGACAGACAGTGTTGAACCATCACAAATAATAGAGACACTTTGAAATAGATAGAATAGGGAATAATGTTCCTACAGAAGACTATGGTTCTCTTTCCAGTAAGACTGTGAAAAAAATTTCGTAGTTATAGTTGAAGAGTACTGAATTCAAGTGAAATGCATCCAGATTAGATGAAGTGAGTTAAGAGGCCTGTAAAGGGAGGGGAACAAAAAGGGGATGAGGGGTGAGGAGTGGCCGGTGAAACCAGGAGGTCGACACAAGAAGAAGTGCACGTACAGAAAGAACGCGCGCGCCAGAGGGAGACACTGAGGTTCACAAAATAAACATGTATCTCAGCTGTTTACTCTTGAATACTGAACACTGCGAGTTGGTTGGTCAGTCAGTCAGTCAGTCAGTCGGTCGGTCGGTCGGTTGGTCAGTTGAACTTTATCCCCGATAATTATATCACGTAATAAATCAAATAGATCCATAATAAAATAAAAAATAATAATGTTTTTTTTCAATTTAATTTTCAAAATGAAATTCCATCACTTCCACCACTGTTGACACCACTTCCTCCAGAACTTGTACTCGTGGTTCCAATTCCACCGATGATACGTCTTGATGGACTAAATTCTATTGGCTGTAAGCCTGTATTATTATTACTAATATTATTTTTATTATTATCATTACTCCCACTCATAGTGTGTTGATGTGTTGGTGAATGATGAAAATGATCGAATTTTAAGGTTGTATTACATGACATTATACTACTATTATTATTATTGTTAGTAGTATTAATAGCAGCAGCAGCAGAAGTAGCAATAGTAGTGGAAGTACCATTACGATTACTACCACAGCTGATATTCGTAGTATGAATATTATTATTATTGCTGTTAGGAATGCACACATTCGTTTGTGGTGATGGCATAGCTTTAAGTATACGTGATATTGTCAGGACAAGTTCAGCAAATGTTGGCCGGTGAACTCCTTCAAAATTCCAACATTGTTGCATAACACTATATATGGATTCAGGGCATCGACTAGGACGTGATAAGCGGAGGCCCTGATCAAGCATTGCTAATATTTGTGCACCTTTCATATCCTAAATTACAAAAAAAATAATAGAGGAATAAATATAATTTATTTTTGGGAAAAAAGGTCAGTGTGGTGCATACTACTGACAAGAGTTATCAGTAGTATATGCATGCAAAATTGAAAACAACATTTCAAGTCCACATGGCTAGAGAAGTCGAAGCGTTTCTTTGTCAAATCTTGATTTATCGCTTACGTTGTGGTCAGGAAATAATCTCAAGGTTTAACCTTCAAAAATCCAACAGCCAATCAGAACAGTTTATTATCTGTTGACCTATCCAATCAAAAATCTGGTTAGAAATGTATAAATATGGTGTGATTTCCGTTACCAAGTCTCTCAACCTTTCTTGTTACAACAGTTGTTAATTAGTAGAATTTTCAAGAATTGGTTTGTAAGGATTAGTTTTATTTTTTTAATAGTTTGGCCACAGGTTGATATCAGTTAGAGAACCATTAAGAACCAGCAGGGAGTACTGGAAAGCTGTTTCATCCTAGTTTGAGAATCATCGGCAGTACACATTCACCACCAGAGTTCGAGCCCAAGGTGAGGTCGCAGACCATTGAGCTACTGGGACCCTATCCAATGGCCTATGAATTCTAGCTTCTGCCAATTCACACACGATATGGCGCGACCATTTCGCAATTTCTTCTTTGATAATAATAATAATGATTTACTTTATTCCAAAAACAGTACTTGATGAGTTACTGCCCCATCTTCAACCTTCTGTACTGTACTGGTCACGGCTTCCAATTAGAAACCCAGGTAACTGCCTGAATGAGGCGAGTCTCTAGTGAGCATCAGATTAATCTTCAAGTATTGGTTTTGTAGGGACGAGGCAGTAACTCATCGAAGAAGACATTGCGAAATGGTCGCGCTGTATCGTGTGTGTGAATTGGCAGAAGTTAGAATCCATGGGCTGGCGATTGGATGTTCGGGTCCCAGTGGCTCCATGGTCTACGAGATCGCCTTGTAACCAGGTCGTGGGTTCGAACTCTGGCGTTGCGGTGGGTGCGTACTGTTGAAGAGTCTCAAATTGGAACGAAACAGCTGGCTGTCCAGTACTTCCAGGTGATTTTCCAATGGCTCTCTAACTGATGTCAGCTCATGATGAAATGCTCCATCCAATAATAATTTGATTATACACTGGCTAGTAACTAGCGTAAAGCTTTTGGTACAAACAAAATTCCATCGTGAGTTGAGATCGCAATGTGGCTACCATGCCATTGAGCGGCCCTGCGTCACGGCGCACTGTGAATTGTTGACATCAGATGCCTGGAGGCAATCGGCCTTGCCTGACCTAGGTATCTAATACTGTCATACAAGAGGTGATCAATAGTGAGCCTGAATAGCTCAGTGGTGGTAACGCCTCTGACTTCAGACAGCACTGGGTGACGCGTGTTCGAATCTCAGAGGGGAACATGAACTCCTCTCAAGTGGTTGCAGATCCACTTTGCTGAAGACTACCAATAACAGGCGTGAAGTGTAGGTTGAGCAGGGCTTCCTGTCGACTGCCAATAACCATCTAATATCGACAATTTACAGTGCGCCATAATGGGAAGCCAGCTAGAATAGTGGTCACTTAATTACATATATACACACATACAAACATTCATACAGATACACTTACTCTATACGGTCGTTCACCATAGGAGTAAACTTCCCACAGTGTAATTCCATAACTCCATACATCAGATTTTGAATCGAAACGAAAGTAATAAATACACTCGGGAGCATACCATTTCAATGGCCATTTACCAGCAGTTGCTGCCTGTAAACAATAATCATCAAAATAGGGCACAGCGTGTGGATATACGAATAAGACAACAAAAAGAAAAAAACACTGTGAAAACATTCATCTGTCAAGTATAAAACAGGCTGGAGATAGGCTCAAACTTGACTTACTGTGATTCAATATTTTTTAAAAATGAAATTCAATTATATTTGCATAGTCTTAGTTATTCTGAAAAGATCTTGCAGGGCGTTGACTAAAAAGCAGTTTGGAAACTGCTTCAGCACAACAAATTTCGGTGTCTCCAACATTTAACAACCTGAATCAACAGTTATATGATAAAACCACTTGTCAAGTGATTCACAGCGGTAAGCTCAGAGAAGCCTTGGAAGTGAATGCAAGAGTACAACAAGCCTGCCGCCGATTACCACCAACGATGATATTCCTAATTGTGGCTGACTAGATTAAGCCTCAGACTGTGAGGAACGAGAGGACAAAAATACGTTGGACTGATAGGAAGACTCTAGGAGATCTGGATTTCGTGCGTGGATGATTTACGTTTAACAACACACAAACTCGAAGACTTGCAGGCAGGCGAAAACCAACAAACTGGATGAAGAGGCGAGGCAGGCAGCGAAGACAAGACTGTGAGTGAATACAGAGAAGATGGAGGTGCTGAAGATATCTACTGACCACCAACAGCAACCAGTAACAATCAATATCAGCGAAATAATTTCGCAAGAGGAAGTCACTTTCTTCACTTATCTGGTTTTGTGGCATCGTTTCAACTAAAGGTAGGACGGACGAAGACGTCAAAGTGTCAGGATAGGAAAGGCAAGGCAGAAACCTTCATCAATCTGAGTATAAAGAACAAGTTTAGGGTTTTCAACACTAATGTCGTATTGGTGATTCACCATACGGTTCACAGACTTGATGTGTCTGTCAACAAAACGAACATATTCAAAATTCTCCAGACTTCAATCAACAATTGCCTTCACTCCATTCTGAAGGTCAGATGGCCGACTAAAAATGATAAGCAGTATGGAAGTCTGATAGGCAACGACCTAACTAAGAACCCATTGACTGACAAATGTTCTGAAGAAATTGGAAATGGATTAGACACAGGCTGCAGAGACCGCTGAATGTCGTCATGCTCCATAGTTTTGAGTGCATAGTGAATGAAAAACGACGAATGAGGCGTGTGATGATGACTTGGTGGAGGTCATACCAGGCGGAGATCAGATACTATGGGCAACCGTAGGGCCAGCTAAAGAAGGTAGTCGAGAATGAGACAAAATGAAGACGTGCTGTTGAAGTCCTATGTTCCACTTGGAATCTAAGGGAACGGTAGTAATAATGTCATCAAATAGCCATGAAGCCCTATCTTAGGAAACCAGTTAATTTGATTGCTTGTTGTCCTACCTTTCCAAATATTTGTGACTTTTATTTTCATATTTTGTATAGTAAAATCGAATGGTTCTCAATGACTCACATTAGATGGCCTTCTGTTTTCACTTGAGTAGGCTCTGGAGGTCGAGAGTCCCACGTAAATGCCTACCTGAAGAGGGGCAGTCATTGGTGAGCATCAGTTATCTGGATTCTAGTGAGAAATCGTAACCAGTGGGGTACAGAAGGTTAAGTGTGAGGACAGATACTCACCGTGGACGACATTAATTAGTGATCGCGCTATATCGGGAAATGGCAGAAGCCGGAATTCATGCGCTGGCCACAGGATCGGTTTACAGTGTCTTAATGATCTAAGGGCTCGCCTCATGATCGGAAGGTCCTGGGCTCAAACAGTGTCTGTGGGTGTGTCATTCTGAAGAGTACGAAACTAGGAGGAAATAGCTGGCTGTCCAGTTCTCCCTGCAGGTTTTCCAATGGTTCTCTAACCGATGTCAGCTCACGATGAAATCCTGTAACTTCGAAAGTCCCTGTTAATTTCAGCAAAATAAGCTTTGAATAGTACTACGCATTACTTTTATTCAGTCCTTTGCCTTATCTGCTTGAACTGACGCGCATGGTTTGTTCATAAATTAAAGGTTGGACTTGTCAAACTGTAAGCCCATGTTTCACATCCTTAATTTTGCCTTCTCATAAAACAACTATATTTTACATGCTAAACAGGAAAAGGCTAAGATCGACACAAATTGTTAGCTGCTAAGGCACTTAAATATAGGCCAATTTTATAGGACAGTGTTGAAGCCTGACGTTGTGTAACTAATCAAGTTAGTTGTGTGACGTGCGCTACCGACAAGGTTTATCAGTAGTATATAAAGGGACGTTCATCGGTGCCGAATATCAAATATATCAGAGATAGATTTGACGTGTAAAAGAGCATATAAATTTGGAAATCAATAACTACCACTTTAACTCTACATTCAATGTGTGGAATGCTCGATGAAGTAGATTCTAACAGGTTTCCGTCAGGTGCTAGCTTTGTGACATTGAACTGCTGAATTGCCTGACATTCTGACTATTAACCTCCACCACTAACCATTCAACCATCAAATTTCAATCGGCCTGATCACCTGTCCGCTTCACACTGTCGTAGGCCACCCTTTGCTCAATGTCCTACTAGCGTCTCCGTCTGATCCTGTATGTCCACCAACTTTTCAGTGGGGCCTCAAAGTCCTGCAAGAAGCTCCTTATATCTCCTTCTTCAAAAGTGGCCTGCAATGGAGTCTTCATTTGCTCAGTGGCAGAGACATCAGTTGTAACGGAAGAACAAAAGGTGGTTGGTCACGGAATATTTAATATACAAATAGAGAAATTATGTACACTGTATAATAAAACCATCATTTGTATGCATCTTTCGTGTTGTGCTACTTCTTTCCTTCCTCCGTATTATATTTCTTTGTCTGCTTTTCTTGTCATCCATGTTTCACGGCAGTATTGGCTTATTTTCTCTCTTTGACATCAAATTTATCTCTCCCTTAATTGAAATTTTTGTGTGCCGATGAAAATCTCTCTCCTATATACTACTGATAAATCTTTTTAGTAGCAAACACCACAAATGTTTACTAAGCTCAACTTCCCAAATATATTTGTAATGGTTATATGTCACACATTTTTGACACTAGTCTGCCTTCTAATTTAATTTGATAAGTAGGTTCTAGAGGTCGAGATTAACTGTTTTTAGTATTCAGACGAGTTACTTGCTGCCTTGATTGCAACGAACCAAAGTTACAGTATTGTTATTATTACTATTACTATACCTGTCGGTCGCGTCAGGAGCACAGTGGTAGAGTGCTCGCCAACCACGAAGTGGTCCGGAGTTCGACCCCTGGCCGACGCACTCTTTTATCTCGTACCTCGCTGAGCTAGTAATAAGACTGGTAAGGAGGGAAGGTTTAGCATGAGACTAACAACCCTATCCTGTAAAAATATTCACCACTGCTAAAGAAACTTCAGGCCTATATTCCACTGGGAACGTAAAGGAATAAAAAAATTACTGTCGGTCATATCAAATTCTTGATGTTGTTTCTAGTTTCCTTATGCTTCACATCAGTAGCCAATCAATGTACAAGAGGTCCACACAAAGCTGCAAAATAAAAAACTGACAAATTCACGGGTTGTGTAATATCTAAATCTTCTGACAGTTGTGGGAAATCTTCTGCGCAAAGGTTGGCTAGTTAGTAGTGTTAATTTAGACAATGATTTATGCGAAAAGCAGGGATAATTAATCATTTCTAAACGTAGGTTTTTGGCGTTAAAGCAACACACTTCTGTTTTCGATATAATATTGATTTACTTACAAGTCAGTTTTGAATACAATTATGTTTTCAGAGAAAGGTGAGAGAAGGTAAGAAGAAGAAGACTAAACGAAAGTGTAGTGAACTTGTAGACAAATATCCAGGCGACTGACAAGAGTAATTTATTATTAAGCATTAGTGGACTCATAAATAACGGAATCATAGGCATTGTGTATGAAAAGACGTACAACTAACCTAGGACTGAAAGATCAGTCGGTCGGTCGGCTTTCGACATAGAACTTTGCACAGATGTGCACCAGTTCAAGTCACCACACTCCATGTAGCACACAAACCAAGAGAAGAAAGTAGGAGAAATGCATATTAGAGACAGTAAACAGAGGTGTGAGACAAAGGAATAGTAATAACGAAGAACAAAACAGTTTAATTGAAAATCATAAGTCACAAGGAGTGGATGCATCTGCGCCAGCCATCACTGAGAACGATTTTGAGCCATCTCACCAATTGTTTCCAACCTTTGGCTTTTTACCGTCCCGAGGACCCCAACCAGGAAGTCTACACCTTCCTACGTGGCTTAGACTAACTGTTTTGGATTTCATTGACTGGTCCCATGTTTTCGTTTGACCACCGCTAGCTCTTTTCCAGCCTGACCTCTTATCAGCTAACATTGACCGTCGAGGAAGGCGATGACTAGGTATACGTAACACATATCCTAACCATCTCAGTCGATGTAATTTCACAGTTTCGTCGATTGATTTCCCCTCCTCCTTACCTAGCACTCTACCGATGCCTAACCTGAATATTGCTCACCTAATTATACCACTTCACACGTGAGATAGAATGCAGACACCTATGATCAAAGACAGCTAGGTAGACTCTTCATATCCTCCACTCTCAATGGACATGTCTCACAGCCGTAAAGGAGAACGGAATGAAATGCTACTGAGCAGTACACACGCCCTTTGGTCGATAGTCGGATATCACGTCTGCGCCAGAGATGGCGTAAACTGGCATATACGAAACTAGCCCTCTGTATTTGTACTGAGATTTCGTCAGAAATCAACCCGTTGGGGCTGATGTTACTTCCCAAGTAAGTGAAGCGGTCAACGTGCTCTACCACCTCACTTCCTATTTCTAATCTAGGGGTCGGTGTAGTCCAATCCTGTAACATCATCTTGCATTTGACGAAGCGAATCGCATGCTAAACATTCGTAGATTGTAGCTCAAGGTGTTGGACTTTCAAGTCTAATCTTAATTCAGTGCTACCATACGGATCAGAGACTTGACGCCACGTCATGAGGGGCAGTTTGAACAAACTAGAGACCTTCATCAACAGCTTTGTTTTCGCTCAATACTTTGCTCGAGATCAGATGGCTGGCCAGCAAAGATCAGTAACGGATCTTCGGGGACGAACGAATGCTGTAGGAACCAACTTTTTCAACTTGTTCCAAGAAGAGTTATGCATTCAGAGGTTCTTTTAGCCTCTCTAGAATGATATAACTTAACATCTCGCTTGATATGAATAAGAGCGTGATTCTGTGGCATTTGTTACAGAGGCTTAAGTTGCCCTTCTTTGGTAGTTTGGTAGATTAGTCATTCTTTCAACCAGTAGGTATCTTTCCTCCCTTACTTCCAAACTTTTAGCATATAAACTGAGGTCTCTGTATCCGTTTTCAGGGCGTCAGAAGTAACTCTGACTTGCCCTGCTGACTTCATGGCTTTCAGTACCTTTGGGATATTCATGACTTCTGCTTTTGTCACAGAGTTCACTGACAATTCGGTTGTTGTGGGTGGTAATTCTGGATGAGCTGCAGATGGTGCTGGATTCAAGAGTCATTGAAATGTTCTGCCCTTTATATCTCCTCTCTGGTGGCTAGATTAACTTAGCGCCCTCTTCCGTCCTGATCTCATATCGGATAGAACTCTGGTTATCTGATATAGACTTCTAAGGTCGCTCTTATCTGTAGACTGCTTTGCTTTGGTTGTCAGTGTGTCATGGAGTTCCTGTTTCGTCTTTCCTAGAACTTCTTCACTTTTTATTCAAATGGCTACAAAAATGGACACAGCTTCTCCTGTTAGTCAATGATTTTCTGTTTTTGTGAATCTTTACACTGGTTCACCCTCTGTCTCACCAGTCTTCTCTCTTCTGATGGTTCTGAATTATTTCTGATTTTGAAGTGTCGGTTTACAGGGATTTGATTTGATTGATTACAGGATTTCATCATGAACTAACATCAGTTAGAGGACAGTTGGGAAACCAACACGAAGTACTGGACAGCTATCTTTGCCGTCTTGGTTTGTGACAAATTCTTCAGCGGTACACACCCACTGGGGTTCGAAACTATGTCCATCTGGTTACAAGGCTAGCTGGTAAACTACTAAGCCACTGGGACCCGATTCATTGATCAACCCATGAATTCCAACTTCTGCCCATTCACACAGAACATAACGCGACCACTAGCGAATGTCATCGTTGGTGAGTATTTGACCTCAAATTCAACCTGACCTAACCTACTGGTCACAACTTCCTACTGGAATACAGATAACTACCTACCTGAGTAGGTTCAGTCAACAGTGAGCATCGGAAAAATGTCGAAAGCAGCTGTTACACTCAGAAATTCATTAACAAGTATGGAAGACGTGAAGGCTCGAATGCCAAACATATGACAGTGTCTTCAATTGAATCGATTTTAAAGGCGAAAGTATTGCAGAAATAGTCAACAGAAGATTGAAGATGCTACAAGCCAGAGCCAATCCTGTAGCTAATTTGGTTCCCGTCTATTGGACAACACGCTCTTCTATAGTGCGATCAAATGTCGATAGATACCCTTCTTGTGTTAACTCCTACTGTGTATTTCTGATAGCAGTTGCATTGGGAGAACAGAAAAAAAGCCGCATCTCCGATTTTCTGAACATGTGCCGAAAAGCCTACGTCTCAAGGGAACAAACGCTATCTATTGTGCCACTACCAGGCATCTCCTTGATACGTGTCGTACATAAGGGGTACATTGCAAGATCCCTCAAAATTATCAATAGATAAAAGAGTTCAATTCTCCTCAAGTTCACAAACTGAAGCAAGCTCTATCAAACGCCTGAAACTCAATCTGTGTGCTTAGAAACAGGCGGTTGTCAGTCTTTCTTTACTCTGGTAACTGGAATTTTTTATCCTCTCTTTCATTTGATTACGTCACACAGAAAAATTCCATTGTGTATGCTTATTATTACCATTGCATGTTTATATTGATTTTTTGTTTAAACTTGAACTCCCCATGTAAGAACGTTAAAGTTGTTTCTGTACATAAACTTGCCAACAATAATAACTTTAGGCTGTAAGCAGATGATGAGAAGCCAACGAAAGAAACAGTGATGACGCCACCTTATTTTGCACAAACTACCATTGTTCTTGCTTTACTCAAATTTTCTATAGTTTGGTTTGTAAGAATTAGATTTGTTTTCCCGAGATGATCACGGATTGATATCAGTTAGAGGTCCATTGAAAACCAACACTGGAGTACTGGACAGCCAGCTGTTTCATCCTAGTTTGAGAATCATTGGCAGCACGCACCCACCTCACTGGGATTCGAACCCAGGACCTTCCGGTTACAAGGCAAGCTGGCTCGTATACCATTCAGCCACTGGGATTCGATTCAATGGCCATCCAACCCATGAATTTTAACTGCTACCAATTCGTGATGCATTTAGCGCGACTGACACCAACCAATGTCATCAATGGGACATCCATCCTCACACTTGACTGGATGGACCTCACTGGTTATGAATTCTCACTAGAACTCACTCCAGGGAACTCCGTCCTTTAGAGCAAGTTACCAGCGAGCATCAGATTAATTTTATTCAAATTCATAAAGGGAGGGGAATAAATGTATGAAGCCTCTCTCTCTTTCTTCTGTTAGCTTGATGAATATTTATATGCAGATAATTTATAAGAAATGAAAACAGAAAGAATTGAAAATGAGTCACACAAGCAGATAGGGAATATAACAGCTAAGTCTGAGGCAGTGTTAGTAAAAGCGACCGAATGAAACGTTTATGGACAGAAAATTTAGGGTTTTCTTTGTGGACATAAACAGAAGATGAAATGCAGATGTAATTCTTTCAACCGACTCGATCCTACCTTATGTCTGACACTGTATGAAGTGTTCACTGACGTCGCAAGACTATAATTACTAAGGAAACCAGTAGTCTAATCGATGTCAGATAATGATGAAATCCTGTAACCAATCAATTAAATCCCTACAAACCAACACTTGAATATAAATGAGATCTTCACTAGCAACTGGGCATATTTAGGTAGGTAGTTATTTAGGTGCTGGTGGGAAGTCGTGACCAGTGGGGTACATCGGGTTGGGTGTAAGGACAAATACTCTCCACCGATGACATTGGGTTGTGCCAGTCGAGCTATATCCTGTGTGAATTGGTAGAAGTTGGATTCATGGGCTGGCTATTGGATGATAGGACCCCAGTGGCTGAATTGTAAACGAGCCAGCTAGCCTTGTAATCGGAAAGTCCTGGGTTCGAACGCTGATGGCGGGTGCGTACTGTCGATGATTCCCAAACTAGGCTGACGAAACAGCTGTCCAGGTCTCCCTGGTGGTTTTCAATGCTTCTCTAACTGATATCTATCCGTGGTCAAACTCGCTACACACCCAGCCTTCCATTATTTCCAGGAGCTTACTACTGACTAAGTGGTCTTGGAATAGTGGCGACCTAGAGTCCAGCCCGTCTGACATGACATTGGTATTAAAACATACCAAACATTAAAAGAAAGTAAAATCAACAAATATCAAAACAAGGAGTTGAAAAAAATATATCCACTTACCCGATAATAATCACTACCAAAATTCAATGCTTTACTCATTCCAAAATCACTAATTTTTGCAAAATGCCGAGTAACCAATAAGACATTACGTGCAGCTAAATCACGATGTACAAATTTACATGATTCTAAGTATGCCATACCCAAGGCAACTTGATGCATTAATTCAGTTAATGTATGTACACTGACATCACTGAAAGGAATCAGGGAAAAAAACAAAGAGAATCCCAACTTAGTTAAACTTAATCATAAACTAAGATTAATTAGAGAGTCACACAATGAAAACCAGGGAGTAATGGACAGTTGTTTTGTCCTACGTTAGAACTCTTTAGCCGGACGCACACAACCACAGCCCGAATCACCAGGGATTGGACGCGAAACTCTTAGGGTATGAGGCGAACCTCCCAACTATTCAACCTCTGGGGTGAAATCCAATGGAACCTGACTTGCTCCTTTTAGCTATGTATATATCAATATGAATATCAACCTTATGCTCACTAGTGACTGGCCTTATTCAGGTAGGTGATAACATGAGTCGTGACCAGTGGGCTACAGCTGTTCGGGGTTGAGGACAAATATTCGCCAGCAATGAAACTGGCTAGTTGGAATTTCTGGGCTGGCCATTGAATCGGGTCCCAGTGGCTGAACAGTGTAAGTCACCTTGTAAAAAGGAGGTCTTGGGTTCAAATTCTGGCGGTGGGTGAGTACTGATGAAAAGCTATTCCAGAGACGCATTTGTATAAATTACCTCAAACAGCTATTCCCTGGAGCCTGTGGTCATAAGACGTCACTCTCCTTTCTATTTCATTTCCTAGAGACAATGATTTAGTATGTTCGACTGATTTTTTCCTTTTCATCTGAATCAAATTGAGTACACTGCTGATGAGCCGGGCATCAAACAAACGAAACGCTCAACGCCTACGCATAGGTTGTAGAGTATTACTAAATGGCATGAGAGATCTTCAGTTGGTCATTTCAAATAGTAGATTTTATTGTCTTACTGAATTACTGTTATTATTATAATTATTGTGCTCGCCTTCTACTCAGAGTGATAACCTAAATAGATGCCCTCTCCACAGTGATTGCTCACTAGAGCATGAATGATATCATGTATTTAACCCTTAATAGGGTTACTGTTAGAGAACCATCGGAAAACCTGCAGGGAGTACTGGACAGCTGCTTAGCCCCAGTTTCAGACTCTCCAGCAGTACGCACCCACTGAAGAGTTCTCACACTCATTAAGGGTACAATTTATTTTAAAGTAACTGCGACACAATCCAATGGCCAACCCATGAATACCAACTTCTGCAGTAGCTCGCCTTTTAACCAGAAGGTCCTGGGTTCGAATCCTAGCGGGTGGGGAGGGTGCGTACTGAAGAAAAGTCCCAAACTAGGACGAAATAGCTGGCTGTTCAATACTCCAAGGTTGTTCAATGGTTCTCTAACCGACGTCAGCTCATTATGATGAAGTCCTGTAACCAATCAATCAAATCCCTACAAATCAATACTTGAGTATTACTGTTGACTGGAGTTTACCAGTCAAGTTTCCCACGGAGTCACCAGGCCAGAAAGCTAGACATAGTGGTGGTATATAAAGTGACAGTGAGTAGTTGGGAGCAATCACCTAGAGGTCTTGACTGGTACTAATTGACATTCATCAGTAAAGCGTGTCTGCAATCTTGAGAAAAATGATATCTCCTTCTGAAATTAGGTAATGAATTGTGAGATGTTATCACTCAGTTAGTAAAGTGGCGACAGCTGTGTAGAGGAGAAAGAGAAGATGTTTAATTTTACAATAATTCTTCACAATGAGCAATGATATAGTAAAAGAATAATAATAGTAATAATAACAATAATTGTATTAACTTACGGACGTCTTTTCAAATATTTATTGATAGGACCTAAAGGTGCTAATTCAAGGACAAGCATAAATTGTTCTTCTTTACACACACCTATCAGGAAAGAGTAAAATGCAAAAGTAATAAGAAAAGATTAATTCAATTTCGATTTTTCTGTCGACTGATTGGACCAAAATTGGCTAGTCTCAGGTCAACATGTTGGGGGCTCCTTGTGCAGATGCTTCGACAATGTCTCGTCATGTAATTTGAAGTTAATTGGTGGATGGTGAATGTCAGAAGTAAAATCTATCAAGATGTGCGTTTCGTCTTATTTGGGACTCATCAGCCAGTGGATGTACCTGCGATCCCCAGTCAGTGATTATTCTCTTTCTCAAACTTGAAACTAGTGCCCACAGTTTCAAAATGCAAAAGTTCTACTCAAGTAGCTCATTAGGAAAATCATCTTGCAGTCGTTAGGAATCCATCAGCTGATGAGTCCCAAACAAGGTGAAATGTGCACCTATTGGATTCCACGCTATTAGACACCATCCATGAAATAACAACATGTTCAAGAGTTATTTTCTTGGGGATTTGATTTGCTTCAAGTTCAGCCACGGATTGATATGAGTTAGAGAACCACTGAAAATCACCAGGGAGTACTGAGCAGCCGGCTGTATCGTACCAGTTCAAGAATTTTCTGGAGAATGGCAGCCAGTGACTAGTTACAAGAAGAAGTTACCTGGAACTGTTTCTAGTGAGAAGTCGTGACCTAACATGAGGATAAACAGCCACCGACGACATTGGTTGTTGGTCACGCTAATATCACGAATTAGTAGAAGTTGGAGTTCATAGGCTATCGGATCAGGTCACAGTTACTAAATAGTTTACGAGCTTTCCTGGTGGATGCGTAATGCTGCAAGGTCCCAAATTATGACGTGGCAACAAGCTGTCCAGTACCCCATGGTTTTCAATTATTCTCTAACTGACTTCAACCCGTGATCAAACCTAAAACATTTTAATGCTTAAATATGGTTGTGGTGTTCTCACTAGAAGCCAACTTTTCAACAGAAAACGAACATTCTGGTACAACTTTATAACCAATAAACAAAATAAATTAAAATTATTGGTGGTTTTTGGTTGGAAAATATGATAATCTTGCATGCTTTGGAATAAAACAGTTGGTATAAAAGTGGTGGAGTCATACAGTCGGTAAATTAAAAGGTAACATCTCGATGGGGTCATGGATTTATTGAGATTGTGAAATTGCGTAGATTCGGGCTCCAGTCTTGTGTGTCTTAAACATAGAAATATAACACAGTGTTGTTAGACTAGTGAGTCAGTGGTTCGGGGAAAGAATACCCATGGCAGCCGTGCACTTGGTCTAGGGCTCGATTTCCAACCAACTCACTCCTAGACCTTAACTGATAGGTAGTAGTTGGCCTGATAAACAGAGAATGTTGGGCACGTGGCTAGCAACTCCAACCCGGAATGAATAAAAAACAGCTAGACTGAGACAGTGGATTAATGCATAAATTCTTTGAGTAATTGACTGAACTTTCTAGTGAACCGTAGACTGTCTGTCTGACATCATTGTAATACATTGGGATGTGATGGAGAAGATTTGTAGCTCAGGTGGATGATTTTGATGTGGTTGTGTTCTCTGAGCTGGATAGTTAATTTGCGAAGCTTTCATCACCCTACTAAGTGACGTCTTCAGCGCATACTTCAATTTGAAGTGGGCTTTTAGATTTCTCCACGAGTTTATTAGTCATCTCTCCCGGTGACCTTGGAGGCGATGTGTGTTTTCACACCTTCTAGGCTACTTGTATTGTAACTCATTGTTTCCATGACTTGAACTTTGACCCTTTGTGTGTGACTGTTCTTTCTTATCGGTTGATAAATTTTGTCTATCTCAATGTGTCTATTGATTGATGATTCACTGGAACACCAGGCGGGCTTTTAAAAATTCCCTAGCATTTTTGTTGTTTCCTCTGTCTAATATATTTGAACATTGTTTCAATCGAATTGATGCCCGTGGTTGTCTGTATGTAGTGATATGAGGGAATGGATGTCATGTCTTTTGACGGCTAGCTTATGTTCGTGGATACGAAGACGAAGGGGTCGTCCACTTTGGCCAATGTAGTGTTTTTCGCAGTTATTACAATTTATTTTGTGGATGATGTTGGTTTTATCTTCCTTCACTGTTGAGTCCTTTGGTTGACATAGAGCTGAGTGAAGTGATTTTGTTGGTTTGTGTGTGACTTCAATTAGTGTAGGTTTGAATTGTCTTGCAGTGATTTCTGAGATGTCTTTTATATATGGTAAGGCGATGTTCTTTGTGCTTTCCTTGAGGGCTTTTGGTTTGATAGGTTGGCTTGGGGGTATATGTCTTTTGATGAAATTCTGTGGATATCCATTCTTGTTGAAGACGTGCATGAGATCTCTGTCTTCAATTTTCCTTAAGGAAAATTGGGATGTATTGAAGTATTGGTTTACAGGGATTTGACTGATGACTGGATTTCATCATGAGTTGACAGTGGTTAGAGAACCATTGGAAAATCTGTAGAGAGCACCAGACAGCTAACTGTTTCGACAGCCTAGTTAGGGTCTCATTGGTAGTAAGCACCCACCAACAGGGCTCAGACCCAGGGCCTTCTGATTACAAGGCGAACTAGCTTGTAGACCATTCAGCCACTGCGACCCGATTCATTGGCCAGCCGATGAATTCTAACTTCTACCAATTCATGATATAGAGTGACCACTAACTAACCAGTGTCATAGGTGACGAGTATTTGTCCTTGCACTCGACCTAATTGTGATAGACTGGATTATACGGAAGATTGTACACAGGGAGTGGGAAGACATAAATACTTTGGACCAATAAGAAGACTCTAGAAGATCTGGATCTCACGCGTGGATGATTTATATTTCATGTCACGCACACAAATTTGAAAAATTGCAGGTTAAAATCAATAAACTGGCGGAAGAGGTTAGGAGTGAAAACACAACTCCAGTTAAACATAGAGAAGACGGTGGTGATGCAGAAAACCAAACAACCAACCAAGAGCAACAATAACCAGCACCAATCTTCATCAATGGGAGAGATTTAACAATGGCTACCTCCTATACTCATCCAGCCAGGAAGCATCATCTCAACTATAGCCACTCAGCATGGATACAGTTGTCAAAATCACAATCAAAGGGTAAGGCAGACCTTCATCACTGTGAAATTAGTGTGGAAATCTTCTGTACTCCGCCTCAACATAAAGAACTAGATTCGAATTTTCAGGAAAAAATGTGAGGTCAGTCAGTTCTCCTATGTGAGTCAGGGAAACGGCACGTCATGAAAAGCGATTCATACAGGCCACTATGACTTTCATCAATATCTGCCTTCACTGGCACCAAACTGAAGGTTAAATGGCTAGCCAGAAAGAATTAACAACAGAAAACTCTAGCTGCCAAAAGACAAACCAAGAGCCGATTGTTAAACAAATATGCAGGATAAAATGGAGATAGATTCGTTGGACATGCGTTGAGGAGGTCGTCGAATGACATCACGCGTAGTGGAGGCCACTGCTCGAGTGGAATCCAAGTGGGAAGCGACAAGTAGATCGTCGGAGCGAAAGTGACATGGAGAGATTATAGGCAATCGTGTTGCTAGCCAGCTGCAGAGGACAGCAGAAAATAGAGCAAAGTGAAGATGTGTTGTTGAAGGTCTCCCTGTATTCCACTTGGAACCCCTGAAGACAATGACAATTTAATAATCATTACTGACGTCTATGATTTGAAGATGTCGTCTAAAAGGACCATAAAATCTTCACAATCGAACCACTCATCTCAGAAAACACAACCACAACTAAATCCTCCATCTGACCCATCTTCAGATTAATTGCTCATCAATAAATAAACCAAGTAAATAAATCAATTAATCAAAATTATACATAATCATCGATCGATAATCACTTACCAATTAATCTTACTATATGACGATGTTTCAGCTGGGCCATTGTACGCGCTTCAGCTAATATTTCTCTCTATGGTTTAAATTTGAAAGTTGAGGGTTTTTTTCACAAAAGTTGATAAATTTTTGTTTTTGTTGTATTTTCGAATGAAAAAAAGGAAAAAATAAAACAGAATTGAGTAAATATGATGAAACATTTAACAGAAATAATTAATAGTGCCTTATAAGTAGTTTGATTGTATCTCTAATTTAATGGTAACATGTTGACCAGTCACACTGCAAGTGCGTTGGGGTTCGATTATTTTATCGTCACCGATGCACTCCTAAATCTTGCTTCTTCGTCCCTGGTAGTAAGCGGGGTAGATAGAGAGAGAGAAGGTTGAGCGTAAGACTAGAGACCCCAATTTGATAAAATCCCACCATCGCTACTGGAGACAGTTGTTTACACTCCTATTTGTCTTCATTGCGGTAATAGAATTTTCCAGATGTCCACGTGGACAGGTGTTGGATCATTCCTATTACACGAATTCTCTTCAGTTGATTCGATAAATAAAGCTTCTGTTATCAATCTTTCCCTCCACCCTGTCACATTATTGTATGTTTGGGTGTGTGTAATTGCAGGTAGTGTGTGCTATAGCTGAACTATTCTCTAGATTTCTTATTTTATTCGGGCCAACTAATCTAGATTTTGCTAGGTTTTTATGTCTGACTGCCCCTGTTCTACTTCTTTGACCTATGTATTTGATCTGACAATCATTGCAGGTAGGGTATTAGATAAGCTAGATTGTTTTGTTTTAAAGGCTCCACAGGATTGATCCTTTGACCGACAAGGCTTGTTTCTAATTGAGTTTGTGAGCTTGAATGCCACTTTTATTCCTGCCTAGTAGGGATAGTGATAACAATAATAATAATGATGACGACATACATGTCAAACATGCACAGGATAATGACAACACCGACCATAATGAATCTAAATCATCAGTAGTAATTCCATACAAAGAAGGAACCTCGGAAACCTCCCGGCGGAGAATTCCTAAAAATGCAGGCAGGAATAAAAGTGGGTGGCATTCAATCACCCACAAACTCAATTAGAAACGAGCTTTGTCGACTTTAAGATCAATCCTGTGGAGCTGTAAAAACAAAACAATTTAGTTTATCTAATACCCTGTCTGAAATAATTTTCAGGTCAAATATATATAAGTCAAACTAGTGGAACAGGTGCAATCAGAATAGCGGAGCACAAAAACCTAGCAAAATCTAGATTAGTTGAGGCGAATAAGATAAGAAACCTAGAGAATAGTTCAGCTATAGCGCTCACTACATGTAACTGCACGCATACACACAACCATATAGTAGGATGGGATGAGGTGACAGTTTTAAAATCTAATGTAACAGGGTGAATGGAGGGAGAGATTGATAACGGAAGCTTTATTTATCGAATCAACTGAAGAGAATTCGTGTAATAGGAATGATTCAGCACCTGTCCAGCCAGAAATTTGGAAATTTCTACTACCCATACGACGATGAAAAGGAAAGAATAAAGAAAACTATAAAACTGAATTTTCGAAATCAAGTGATTATAATTGATGAAATGATTATGAACAATTATGGATTGTGTTCGAAACTCTGTCATCCAGTAATTGAATAATACTGTTTTACTCACTGTGTGTGTGATATATCTAATAAAAAATTAATATGGAATTTACATTCCTTTACAAGATCTATAAATTCTGTGAGCTATTTTATGCTTTGATCACTAATTGAAAGCTGTTGGATAACCATTGGAAATGTTGACCACAGGGATCCACCAATTTATGGAAAAGAGAACAGTGATTTCTGGTTGCTCTACATACATTTCAAAAGTTGAAATTCATTGCCTAGCCATTGAGAATCAGGTCCTAGGGGTTGAATGATCTACAAGCACGCCTTGTAACCGGAAGACCCTAAGTTGAAACCGTAACACTGGGTGACTACTGATGAAGAGTCCCAAACTCAGACGAAATGTATAACCAGCTTTACAGTACTTCCTAGTTATCCAATGGTTCTGCAAAGCTGATGTCAGATCGCCTTCAAAATCTGTAACCAATCAAATCTTTGCGAACCATGACTTATTATAAATATTCACATGTTTTATATAAATTTCTTCACAGGATATAGTTTCTTAAAGCGTCATACGTATACACGATTCTACAATTTGGTAATAGATCCCTTGAAAAAGGTCTGTTCGATGAATATTATGTTCTGAATATTAGACTACAAGAATTATTAAAAGACTACATCTTCCCCTCATATTATTTTGTTTCATTTTAGTTGGTAAAGAGACAGTCAACAATAAGCCCTACGTCACCCTCAGGTTTTGTGCTTATTGGTAGTCGTCATCAGCACGTTTCTTCAATATTCAGAGAAACTTGTGCGATTCGAATCCAGGTCATCCACTGTAACAGTCAGAGATGACGTTAACCATCAATGAGCTATTTAGGCTTGTGATTGGCCACCACATGTAGGATTGTAATAGATACTTTGATAGGACAGTAGATAGTAATTTATGATTATTAGTAATGATTACAATAATATAATCAATAATAATAGTAATAATTTATGAGTTGAGAGGTATTCAAAAAATTAAACATTTTATTGATAAACTTACTGTAGCCTTTATATTAATTTAAGAAGAAAAACAATAGAGAAACACGAAGAAAAAAATAAAGCGTAAAATAATATCTGTTTGATGTTTGAGAGTTTATGTGTAATGCAATCAGAAATACAAAGAATTAACAGTGTATTAAGTGTATTAGATTTCTAAAGATTTCCACTAGCTAGTTAGTTAGTTAGTTAGTTGGTTAGTTAGCCAGCCAGCCGAGAATTCAAGTGGTTTGAAGGGATTCTTCACATTCAGAGCTGGTTTGAACTTGACTTTGGTCGGTCCAAGGGTTTTCGGATAACATTTTATTTTAGACAAAGCAGATAAAGAATACGCAATTTGTCTGTCTGATCCATAACACATGGACTTAAACGGGTGATAAAATTGACTTAGGTCAAGTTAAAAGGATATATTGAAGGTCAAATTAACAGTGAAGATCATTAAACCAAAGAAGGGGCGTAACAGTACACCTGTACATCTGTAGAAGAGAGAGATAAAATATATATCTTTTCTAGATATATTGCTTAGTCAACGGCTTGACGGATCAATAAAACGATCTGTTTTATAGAAAACCTACATGTTCAGGACAGTATCTTAATGATCACAGTTTCTGCCCTGTTCAGTACAAAAAGAGCTTTAGTGAGTGAGGTGCCTCTTCAGTAGAATCCAACGAATATGGACGGAAGACACACT